TGTGTGTGTACATGGTGCTGTGTGTGCACGGTGTTTTGTGTGCACGGTGCTGTGTGTGTACATGGTGCTGTGTGTGTACATGGTGTTGTGTGTGTACAAGGTGCTGTGTGTGCACAGTGTTTTGTGTGCACGGTGCGTGCACGGTGCTGTGTGTGTACATGGTGCTGTGTGTGTACATGGTGCTGTGTGTGTACATGGTGCTGTGTGTGTACATGGTGCTGTGTGTACAAGGTGTTGTGTGTGTACATGGTGCTGTGTGTGTACATGGTGTTGTGTGTGCACGGTGCTGTGTGTGTACATGGTGCTGTGTGTGTACAAGGTGTTGTGTGTGCACGGTGCTGTGTGTATGCACGGTGGTGTGTGTGTACATGGTGCTGTGTGTGTACATAATGCTGTGTGTGTACATGGTGCTGTGTGTGCACGGTGTTTTGTGTGCACGGTGCTGTGTGTGTACATGGTGCTGTGTGTGTACATGGTGTTGTGTGTGTACAAGGTGCTGTGTGTGCACGGTGTTTTGTGTGCACGGTGCGTGCACGGTGCTGTGTGTGTACATGGTGCTGTGTGTGTACATGGTGCTGTGTGTGTACATGGTGCTGTGTGTGCACGGTGTTTTGTGTGCATGGTGTTGTGTGTGTACAAGGTGTTGTGTGTGTACAAGGTGCTGTGTGTACACGGTGCTGTGTGTGTACATGGTGCTGTGTGTGTACATGGTGCTGTGTGTACAAGGTGTTGTGTGTGCATGGTGCTGTGTGTGTACACGGTGATGTGTGTGTACACGGTGTTGTGTGTGTACACGGTGATGTGTGTGTACAAGGTGCTGTGTGTACAAGGTGTGTGTGTGTGTGCACGGTGTTGTGTGTACATGGTGCTGTGTGTGCACGGTGCTGTGTGTGCACGGTGTTTTGTGTGCACGGTGCTGTGTGTGTACATGGTGCTGTGTGTGCACAGTGTTTTGTGTGCATGGTGTTGTGTGTGTACAAGGTGCTGTGTGTACACGGTGCTGTGTGTGTACATGGTGCTGTGTGTGCACGGTGCTGTGTGTGCACGGTGTTGTGTGTACATGATGCTGTGTGTGCACGGTGTTGTGTGTACATGATGCTGTGTGTGCACGGTGTTGTGTGTACATGATGCTGTGTGTGCACGGTGTTGTGTGTACATGATGCTGTGTGTGCACGGTGTTGTGTGTACATGATGCTGTGTGTGCACGGTGTTGTGTGTACATGATGCTGTGTGTGCACGGTGTTGTGTGTACATGATGCTGTGTGTGCACGGTGTTGTGTGTACATGATGCTGTGTGTGCACGGTGTTGTGTGTACATGATGCTGTGTGTGCACGGTGTTGTGTGTACACGGTGATGTGTGTGCACGGTGTTGTGTGTGCACGGTGTTGTGTGTGCACGGTGTTGTGTGTGCATGGTGCTGTGTGTGCACGGTGTTGTGTGTGCATGGTGCTGTGTGTGCACGGTGCTGTGTGTGCATGGTGTTGTGTGTGCACGGTGCTGTGTGTGCACGGTGTTGTGTGTGCACGGTGCTGTGTGTGCACGGTGTTGTGTGTGCATGGTGCTGTGTGTGCACGGTGCTGTGTGTGCACGGTGTTGTGTGTACATGGTGTTGTGTGTACATGGTGCTGTGTGTACATGGTGTTGTGTGTGCACGGTGTTGTGTGTGCATGGTGCTGTGTGTACATGGTGTTGTGTGTGTGCACGGTGTTGTGTGTACATGGTGCGGTGTGTACAATCTTGTATGTTGATCTTTCTACGTCCGTGTGCGTGTCTGTATCAGATGGTACATGCGTGATATAACGTTCCCTCCTCTCTCTCAATGTTCACAGAATTTCTACAAATCGGAGATTAATAAAGAAGAGATGTACATCCGATATATCCATAAGCTGTGTGACCTTCACCTACAGGCGGAGAGCTACACAGGTATACATTACTGTACATGGACCTCAATGTGCCAGCCAATGGAAAGGCTGCGGAGGGGGGGGAGGGGGGTCACACTGCGGAGGGGGGGTCACCCTATATTATGGAGCCTCATGTGTATATACAGTGCGTGGAGGCTCCTGTGTCCCCTGTATACCCCTGATTGCCATTGCTGCCTTATTGTATACAAATGTTTCCGTGGAGGAGACGCTCCGCTCGTCCCGTTCCGCGTGTAAAGTAAACAGCTAAATACATACGTATGTGGGAGCCGCTTTCCTTATTTCTTTCCATCCAGTCCTGAGATTTGCACAGCTAGGTAGAGGACACCACTTTCTCTGTTACCGTTTTACACTGTAGAAGGGACGCAGTGGCGTCCTCTCTCTCTCCGCCGCAACCTGGTAACTAAGCAATGAAGGAGTAAGTAGCAGGAGACGGATAAGGTCGTCCCTCTGCTCACTCTGACCTCTCTTCTACCAACATGTCCCCCGTCAATAGATTTGCATGTAGCACACCTGATTGGCTCTCGGATTTGCCCCGCCCCACCTGAGTGCTACTGTACCGGGGATATGGCAGGAGGCCGATACTAAGGTACCGCTGAGATTGTTACAATAGTTGCATTTAAAAAAAAACATTGACAATAATGTGTACAGAGTTGCAATACTTTGTGTTTTATGTCCACGTGGAGCTCAATATATTTCTGTATAGAATGAGAAAGAGATTTTCAGTTGTCTGCGGCCCCCGTTGTGGAGATTCTCCCCCACTTCCTGTCCCCGTGACACCCGTATAAGAAGGGGGGGGGGGGTTACAGAGACATAAGGGCACAGCCAACCGTTAAAACATTGAATGGATCTGAGTTTGAGGCGCCACACCAAGGGGATGAGTTATAAATCAGCCACCGCAACATACCCCGGGCGACTGGTGTTCACGCGGCATTCCCATCACTAGAGGGAGCCGAGTAGAGGATTTCCTGCGCTCCTCAGCTCCGTCTACTGGCGAGACGGCCATGTGATCAGCACTCGGTCAGCGCATGTCACAGCGGATCATTCATAAATTATCTCCCAAATATCAATTTACTCCAATATCAGATCAGATAAAAGGCTTTGCCGCAGAGCCAATATGTTTCAGGGGCCAAAGACCCCCCCTCCCCCTCCTTCATCGAGGGCTATAAAACTATAACAAAGGGATATACCTAATAAATGTATCATTAGTGCAGTCTCGTGTATGAAATCTAAATAAAGAATCTCTTTATTATCTCTCAATCTGGTGTTGGTGGATCAATTGAGTATAAAAATAAAGATAATATGATGCAAATAATATAAAAAAAAGTTTTACAAACCATAAAATATGATATAATATAATATAACTTTCATATATAATTATATATTTGATACATGCAGGGAGTAGAGGGGCAGCAGGGAGTTGAGGGGCAGCAGGGGTGAGGAATTCCTATCTCCCCATGCCCAGGACATGCAGTTCCGGGCGCCGGGCGGGTAGTTGTTTTCTACATTTAGCCCGGCTTTGGGCAAGCAGAGCCAAATGTACAGCGGGGAAACCGCCGCTTGTTCTGTACAAGTGATCTCAGCGATCACTTGTATGCAGCCTGCAGGTCTGACATTCTACACGGGAAGTGCTGATCCTGTACTGGGAGATGCTGCAGTGGGAAGATCGCTCCCTGCGCGAGTTCCTCCATTACCCGGCCCAGAGCGAATGGCATCGCAAAGAGAGCCTGAGCCGCAAAATCATCCACTACTACAACAAGGGCAAGGTGGGCACGCTGGCACACGGCCCAATATTCTGTAAAGGAACATGTATAAGGCCTCTGTCACCCAATCGTGACCTTCGGAACTGACATTGATCATAGTATGTATGACATTTCTCAGTCACGGTTGCCTTTGTTGTGTCCTTTCAGTGCTGGGAATATGCGATCCCTCTGTGCCGGGAGCTGGCGGCTCAGTATGAGAAGCTCTATGACTATCAGAGCCTCAGCTGGATATTGGTGAGTCTTTCTAGAGGCCATAGTTATGTACTATTGTCTGTGTCCATCTACTCGGTGTCTGTATCCATCTACTCAGTGCCTATATCCATCTACTCGGTGTCTATATCCATCTACTCGGTGTCTATATCCATCTACTCAGTATCTATATCCATCTACTAGGTGTCTGTATCCATCTACTCAGTGTCTGTATCCATCTACTCAGTGCCTATATCCATCTACTCGGTGTCTATATCCATCTACTCAGTGTCTGTATCCATCTCCTCAGTATCTATATCCATCTACTAGGTGTCTGTATCCATCTACTCAGTGTCTGTATCCATCTACTCAGTGTCTATATCCATCTACTCAGTGTCTATATCCATCTACTCAGTATCTATATCCATCTACTAGGTGTCTGTATCCATCTACTCGGTGTCTATATCCATCTACTCAGTATCTATATCCATCTACTCAGTGTCTGTATCCATCTACTCAGTGTCTATATCCATCTACTCGGTATCTATATCCATCTACTCGGTGTCTGTATCCATCTACTCAGTATCTATATCCATCTACTCAGTGTCTGTATCCATCTACTCAGTGTCTATATCCATCTACTCAGTGTCTATATCCATCTACTCGGTGTCTATATCCATCTACTCTGTGTCTATATCCATCTACTCGGTGTCTGTATCCATCTACTCAGTGTCTATATCCATATACTCGGTGTCTGTATCCATCTACTCGGTGTCTATATCCATCTACTAGGTGTCTGTATCCATCTGCTCAGTGTCTGTATCCATCTACTCAGTGTCTATATCCATCTACTCAGTGTCTATATCCATCTACTCAGTGTCTGTATCCATCTACTCAGTGTCTATATCCATCTACTCAGTGTCTATATCCATCTTCTCGGTGTCTATATCCATCTACTAGGTGTCTGTATCCATCTACTCTGTGTCTATATCCATCTCCTCAGTGTCTATATCCATCTACTCGGTGTCTGTATCCATCTACTCTGTGTCTATATCCATCTACTCAGTGTCTGTATCCATCTACTCGGTGTCTGTATCCATCTACTCTGTGTCTATACCCATCTACTCTGTGTCTATACCCATCTACTCAGTGTCTGTATCCATCTCCTCGGTGTCTATATCCATCTACTAGGTGTCTGTATCCATCTACACAGTGTCTGTATTTATTTAATACTCCTAATCCCATCAGCCCTGACCTCTCTGTGATCGTCACACCTCTCTCTGTCCTCTCCTTTGTATCTTCCCATCAGAAAATGGAGGCCTCGTATTATGACCACATCATGGACCAGCAGCGGCTTGAGCCGGAGTTTTTCAGAGTCGGATTTTATGGGAAGAAGTTTCCATTCTTTTTACGGGTAATAATGAATTTTCTGTGAAATACTTTACTCTGTGACGTCAGCGGGGGCGGGGGGTGTATGGGGGGAGGGTCTCCAGACTGAACATTGCTCCAGGTTTCTTCATCCTTCTGAAATGTTGTTTTCTTGCTTTCTCCTTGTCCTCCTGGCCGCCGTGGCTCTATGAATCTCAGCGTTGTCCTTTTATTTGCCTGTAATGTCCCGTCTGTATGTTCTTCCTATCGGCAGAATAAAGAGTTTGTGTGCCGAGGTCACGACTACGAGCGGCTGGAGGCCTTTCAGCAGCGGATGCTGAGCGAGTTCCCGCAAGCCATCGCAATGCAGCATCTCAACCATCCCGACGACACCATACTGCAGAGTGACGCGCAGTGTATCTTTCACCTCATCTGCGTGTAACCCGGGTGCATAGAGAGGCAGCAGCAACTCCATTCTTATTTCATGTCGCTGCAGGAAGTCTTTGATACAATGTTTCAGTTCTGTAGCAGTAGAAGAAGGGTGAGGGGAGCTAGAACAGTGTCGGTGTCCCCGGTCATTCAGCTGCGGCGTCTCAGTATACCGCGAGCTGTAGCTCCCTATATACTGAGCTTAGGGTGACGGGAGGACGCTAGTTTGTGTCCTCCCGTTACCCTAAGGAGAACTATGGGGAAAAGCCCTGACCCCGTAGTTCTCCTTTAAGCCGCCTGGAGGGAATGAGTCTCCTTAGGCTCTCCCAGGAATGGGGGCTGAAGGTCATCTCGTTTCTTGAGTAGGGGTCCGGTGTGCTGCAAAAGTCCAGATTCAGTTTTATTGGAACTCTTATGTCAACTCGTTCAAGGGCGTCAAAGGGTTCCCCTTCAGCAGGGGCTGGTTCTGTTGCACAAAGTGTGTGTACTGGGCCTGATAATATTGGAGGGATCCAGAGGACTTGTCGCTACCTTTTGGGTGCGCAAGACCCCCTGAGAATGCACTGCAGGGACATATTCTCACAGGCTTTGGGCTGTTCTGTGGTGACATATTGGTGACATTCACTATTAATTCACATGACTCCTATGTAAGCTCGAACCTTCCATATATAATATATAATGACTTTACATGAGCTATGATAGTCTCTTTGGAGGATTTCAGTTCAAAAGCAAATTCAGATAAAACTGTTCCATTCATTTTCCTAAATGTCTGACCCTGTCCCTGATAGGCAGTACCATACCGAACCCTTCCCCTACCCAGACCCCAGTATTTAATGGCTAAAATTAACCCTGACCCCCAACATTTTATTTTATGTCTTCAGGGTCCTTTAGTTGGATCTGACCGTGCCCAGGAATTATGAGTCCTGGATTAAGCTGGTTAGAGGGTTCCAGCAAGCCGTGGCCCCAGGGGGATGATGGGCCCCAGGGGATAGACTAAGGCAACATTAGAATGTAAAACCAGAGCGGGTCCTTCAAGCTGCTGGGCTTGAGGTTGTCAGAAATGTTTAAACGCCGATGAACAATAATGTAGCATCTCCATGTTATGGGTAACCAATGGAAGGAAGAACATTATTATCTGGAAGTATGAGGTCAAAGGATGAATATTCTGGCTGTGGGATTTTAATTGTAGAGAAATTCCTTGACTGCCCATCATAGACCTGCAAATCTATGCGGTGACACCTCTCCCGGACACTCCGAAAGTCCTCAATATGGATCATGTCCCGGAGAGGATAAAGAGCTTCTACAGAGTAAACAATGTCCGGAGATTCCGGTACGACCGACCATTCCACCGGGGGACACGGGATAAAGATAACGAGTTCAAGGTGAGACTCCGCCTCTCTGTATGTAAGGAAGAACTTCTTGATGTGTTTTCAGTTCTTTCTTTGGAACATCTTGATGCTTTCTTTGGGCTGATGGGTTCCAGGCTGTCCTGTAGGACTCTCTCAGTTGGGGACATGCCTCTCCCCCCCTCCCTCTCTCCCCCCCCCCCCCTC